TTGTTTTGAAGGAAGCATGGCCTTCCCCTCCTCTGAGTCTCTAACATCTTTCTATTTCCCTCCCTTCTTCTCATGTGAATAATTTAAAAGAATTAAAGAAACTATGAGCAAAAATAAATCAAAGGTCTCCTCTCGCTCTCTCCGTTCCCTTTAATTTTTTTATAATTAAATAATAAAATTATCATCTTTCTCGTCCCCGCAAATTAAACATAACCAAAGTTTTATCCAAGTATCGACACTTCAATTTGTGTCAATTTTTAGCAATTTAGCATCCGTTGCCATCAATAACCTAATACTGGGAACTATAGCTATGATAAGAACTGGTTCTGCACAAGGAAAGGAGAATTTTTTAACCTTTTTAGTCCTAATAGTATGTTTGGGTTGTGAAAAATAAATGAGAGAAGAGGAAAGGAAAAAGTTTCCTTTATTTGATTGTCAAAAAAAAAAAAAATTAGAGGGGAAGAGAGGGGGAAATTTTCTTTTTTTTTATTTATTTTTTTTTAAATTTATTTACTTATCCGAATGAGAAGAAGAGAGGAAAGGGAAATGGAGGGGAATGTAAGAATGAAATCTCCTTCCCTTTTCTTTCCCTCTCCTCTATTATTCTCAATCTAAACATTTAGAATACATATATTTATTTGATGTAATCTAATTGTTAGGGATAGTTATGCCACACAACAAATTATTGGGCCCATATAAAATCTTAAATATTGTTTTTTAAAATATTGATTCTGTTTAATTTGACTATTAAAAACAATTAATAATTATAATTATTAATTAATCAATAATAAAATAATTGATATTTATTACTAAACAAATTAAAATTAGTCTATGCACTGATATTTTCAAATGTTATAGCCAAATGTTTATAGATTAAGGAAATTTATATAACACTTTTTAGTTTGTGGCATTAACCAATAATTGTTAATACGGTAATCAATAAATCGTCACTAAATCCTAACTCTATGTTTGTTTTAAGAGGAAGGGAGGAATGTATTTATTAATCAATCAAATTATATATTTTAAATATCATAATTTAATTAGTTAAAAAGTTCTGTGCTTTCCCTTCTCCCTTGTTTCCCTCCAACCAACCTCCCTGCATGCTTATTATAAAAAATTTCCGCAAGTTGCAGGCCAAGTGGCAAGTGCCAAACACCACAAGGGGATGATGATCTTGAGTGCAAGCCATGGGTTATGAATAGAAGCAACTATATCTGCATTAAAATCTTACTTGGACATAATAATACCATTAATAAAGGAAACTAATTAAGAAGACTTCAAGTTCTCCACGGATAGGGAAAGCAGTAATGAAACCTGAAAGGTCAAAGCTAGAGAAAGTAAAACCTAGACATACATGCGTGTGTTTCTAAGAATATTACGACAAATACATTTTTATTCATGAAAATAAGTGGAATATTTGTCTAAGGATCCTGTAAGATGCTACTACTCAAGCAGGTGATAGGTTGTCAGGTCTGACCCTGCTCCATTGTGAAGACACTGTTGGTTAGGCTGCAGATGAAAAGCAAATATGCGAGGACCTTCATTGTGGTATCCAATAATGTCATAATCCCCTCCATCATCAACTAGCCCATACTGTGGATCTTCTCCTCTTAATTCCTTAGTACAATTAATAGATTTGCTTTCCCAATTTTGTGCCAAAGAATTAATTCAAATATAAAAATCAAAAGGAATGCGCGCACTCATTCACACATAAAAAGGAAAATTGCGTAATAATAAATGCTTACAAGCTCATGTAAGAGTTTTTTGTGTATGTCTTCCACATTCCTTACCTACAACAAAGAAAAGAAGATAAACTAAGAATACACGGAGCCAATTTAATTTGTGTTTATATGAATCAAGAAGGGAAAATATATACCATGACTAGGAACTTACTTTTTTCTTGGAAGTTTCAATCTGATTGCTAATCACCTTAATCTGTTACATATGCATCACAATGAAAAATAAAATCAGCAACAATGCATTATTCACAGTCAACTGCTTTTAGGTTGAACGATCATGTCATGTCTTCAATTCATTCTCACTTTGTTTTTCTAACATTTTAGTTATTATTTAGTTCAGTTCTCATAACTGCTGCAGCCAAATTGGCAACTTTTGGATAATAAAATTTCACACTTATTCCACCCCCCTCCCCCACCCCCACCACAAAAGAAAAAAATCAGAAGTAATAAATTAAAATGTTTGATCTATTTGCTGGCCAAGAAAATAAAATCAGCAGGAGCACTAATCTTCCCAAGTTCCAAGTCTCAAAGCAGGAAAGATGATGTTATGCACTCATTTAGTTAACCGCTACTAATACTAAACACCATGCACATGCCTTAATGCCAAAAACAGAAATTGCCACAGAACACTAACACCGTAGTTACTCAGAAAGTTCATAAATGACAAAGCAAAGAAGCACTTCTTCAAATGTGGGTGCTTAATTAATGCATTTATACTTATGTCTCCTAAATCTGAAAGAATTCCTTCTATAGCAAAGAAGATATATTGTTGGACCAAACGGGAACTAGATCTAGCTAGTACTTAAGACCTTATACAGGATTTATATATGTGATCAATAATTGAAATTATTATAAGAACCCGAAATTCAATGATTGTCAACCTTTCGATCACGAATAAGCTTCAAAGAAGCCTCGCAATCTTCCACCAGATGAAGAACATCCTCTAATTCAAGATCATTCAAGCTTTCACCCATCGTCTGCCTATCAATATCCATTAAAATCAATACCTATAGTCAATAAACAAAAAAAAAGAAAAAGAACGGAGATCGCATCTCCTAAATCAAATAAACTGAGCACTGAAGCACCTCTCTTCCCTTACCTTATTTCCCTCCTCAGCTTCCTGTTCACCTCTTTCACTTTCTCCAATTGCTCTTCCATAGCCTGCATCAATATAACTCTACATGTTAAGCTCTGAAACAACTGAATAATATGTATACGTACGCATAGACTAAACTGAATAAGAGAGATGCCTTATAGTGAGTGCTCCAGAGATCCTTCCCCGTCGTCTTCTGGTACTGATCAAATAACTCCTTTGTCCTGCAAAAATTTCAAAAAAAAGAAAAAAAAAAAGAGAATCAATCATTCTCTTGAATTTTAAAGAACAAGAAACTTGCACTCCAAGAAATCCAGGGCTTAAAATTCATACGTGACGGTGGGACTGATGTACTCATGGAGCTTTCCCGTGCTGGAAATCATGATAATCGAGACCTTAGCATCGCAGAGAACGGTCAGCTCGCTTGCCTTCTTGAACAGACCGTTCCGACGCTTAGAATAGGTAACCTGGCGGTTCGTGGAGTTCTCAATGAGCTTGATCTGGATCTTCCCTCGAGCCATTCCGATCCGAGATTTTTCCTAAGCTCTTCAGTTTTCTTGCCCCATTATGGTAATAAAGGAAATGGGGAAAAGGGAAAGGAGAAGGTGGGATGCATAGCTGAAAATGGAAAGAAATTGCCTAATCGAAGAAAGGCTTCATAAGGATTGGCAAAATGAGGAAATGCATTACCTGTTTTCTGTTTGATTTGAAACGCATATCGATGAAACCGCGTGTCCACGGGAGGAGACCATCACTTTCCGTCACGGATGACGGAACAGAGACCATTTCAACCCAACGGCGGTTAGGCGCGGTGATTAAATTGGTGACTAGACCGCTGTAATATTTGACTGGTTTTTTGTCTGGTGGGTATTTTGAGGTGTACGTACCTTGATACTTGGGAGCTAGCTCCAGTCTCCAGACCTCTGGCTCAGGCTGAGGCGTGAAGCTAAACCCTCGTACGTTGTACCCATTTTCCTTTTGAAGATGTTAATGTTGTTCGGTCACCGACGTAGAGTCATTTCATATCAAATCTCTCACACATCTAATCGGGAATCAAATCCAAAGTTAGGCTGTTTCTGTTTGCCAAATGGTATTTGCCTCTGTTTTGTAGGGCATGCTTATTGTTGCATAGAACAATCATGGTAGGGGGCGAAGCTAAGTGAAGACAGTGGGGCCACTGAACTTTTAAAAAATTCAATAAAATCCCAAATTTTTAAAAATTTTAATCATAAATTCTACCGCTAATCATCAATGATAAATCTTTTTATAATATAAGACATATTTTTAAAAAAAAATTTATTTTGTTTCAACTAATATTTCTAACTTTTATGATAATAATCATCATTAGTTAATAAAAAAAAAACGTAATCAGTTGTTGTATTAGTTTCATTAGTAAAACTTAAATTTAATGTTGGCATGACAATTAGTAAATTTATTAAATATAAAAAATACTTTTTAATCTCTAAATTTCATGGTTGGTAAAAAAACAAATTCTATATTTTTTACCCCCAAAAATGACAAAAGATCTATAAAGTTCTAACACATCTCCTCTTTCCTTTATTCCTCCTCTATTTGCTAGAAAAACTCTAATTAAGAAAAGCGATCAAATGATCTCTCAGGTTTAATCTTTTTCCTTTTATTCATCTGGGTTCTAGAAATTTGTGGCAAATTTTAATCTTGAATGTATTTGCTTTCATGTTTCAATGGAGTTTTGTTGAATAAGTCATTTGGTTAGCATAACTTGGTATTTAATTTGTGTTTCTCCTCTTATAAAAATTTTGTAATCTACATAGAGGTTGAATGCTAGCTTGAGATTAGAGGTGGTATTTGAAATGTTTGAAATGAGAATGACTAAGGAGCTTAAACTTGAGGAAAATTTTGAGGGAAACAACCAGTTGAGAATGAAAGAAAGAGAAAAGGGTTATGGGGTTGAGGATTGTAGCAAGTTTTTGAGTCTTATAATGTATCCTTAAATAGCTGATCAAAAAAAAAATAATGTATCCTTAAATAGACCTGTGGGGATCTTTTTTGCTTCTAGAAACAAATTGTAAAATAATAAGAGCAACGCTTGAAAATAAGATGATATAAGTGGGAATTATATCATGAAAGTAAGAGGACAAAAGAGTTGAAGATGGAGAAGTTGCATGATGAATTAATTAGGGATTTTTCTTAGATTAAGAGTATATTTTTATTATAAATGTACATAAAAAATGCAAAAGCTGATATTAATTTTAGTATAAGGTGAATTTAATTGAATAATTGATAAATTAAAAGTTAATTTTTATTTTTTCATATAAATTTATATAAAATATATATATATATATTTAATATACCTTTAATTTGTGCTTTAACTTGTGCCCTAAGGGCACAAGTTAGGAAACCATTAAGTAGATCTTCAAGGATCAAACCTTTCTGGTTTTGATGGTAAAAAACATGCAAGTACTTACAGAGCAAGGTATATGCACACATCTAGGGTCTTATCAAAATATGTGCATTGTTTGTGGTAAGGACTCAAACGTTGAATCTGGTGTCCCAGTTGGGTACATACATGAAAAATTTGTTACATCGCAAGAAGCTCTACTTGGCTCTTGATCTGGATCACATGCTTCTTAACTCTACTCTTCTCATGAAGTTGACACCTGAAGAGCACTATCTAATTGGCTGAATTGATTTGCTTCAAGATATTCCAAAAGGCAACCTACTCTGATTAGAACATGTGCATATGATGAACAAGTTGAGGCCCTTTGTTTGAACATTCCTCAAGGAGGCAAGTAAAATTTTTGAAATGTACATGTATACCATGGGTGACAAATCCTACGTGCTAGATATGGCCAAGCTACTTAATCCTGGAGGAGGGTACTTCAATGCTAGGTCATCTCAAGATACAATTGCACCCAGAGACATAAAAAGAGTCTTGATGTGGAGCTAGGGGATGAAAGTGTCATTCTGATCCAATTGATTATAGTGAAAATGCATGGGAAATGCATAAGGACAATTTGATACCAATGGATAGATATCATTTCTTTGCTTCAAGTTGTCATCAATTTGGTTACAATTTCAAGTCTCTTTCTCTGTTGAAGAGTGATGAAAGTGAAGATTGAAGGAGCACTTTCCTTTGTTCTTGAAATAGTAAAGCAAATCCAAAATATACTTTAATGGCAATCTGGACAACATTGATGTGAGGCAGGTGTTTTAGATAGTTAGAAAGGAAGTTTTGAAGGGATGTAAAATTGTTTTCAGCCATGTTTTTGCCACCAAATGCTGGGCTAATAAACGCCCTCTTGGGAGGATGGTAGAACGGTTGGGAGCTACATGTTCCAAAGAAGTCAATCGATCTATAACACATGGTTTCTCATTAGTGCATCGCCGCTGGAACAAAGAACCTAATGGGGCAGTGAAGGAAAAAAAAAAATTTGGACCATCCACGATGGATTGAATCAACACATTTTTTGGTGGCAGAAGCAACTTGAGGAGAACTTTCCTGTTTCTGGAGGCGCTGCCGACCCTTAACCGGTGTAGATGGTTATTTAATGCTAATAATTATGCATCTATATAGAAATACTTCCTTTGATTTTTTTTTTTTTGTTGCAATCACACTTCATTTCAAAATGAGCTAATTGTTGCATGTCGATGGAGAAATGGGATTTACATGGGACGAAAGACAACCTTAAGCCTTAAGCTTAATAAGGCTAGTGCAATGCTTTTTTGTATTGTTTTTGATACATGCTTTTCTGTATTGATTTTGGTAGAAGACATGGCTGAGTCATAGTAGCCTGGGGATATAATTTATAGAGTGATGTTAATCTATTAAATAATAAATACACTACAGCATTTTTTCCATTTAGCTACGGACAAAATTTGTATGTATATGGTCAAAATCTGTAGGTATATCCCGTTTGAGGCCTATACATACGGAGAAAAAAGTGTAACTATATGTCTTGTAACTATAGATAATTAACTACGCAAATGTACATATTCCTACAGTATTATATGTCGTAGATAAAAGATAAATGAACCTATACCTACATTTAAAAAATAGTAAGTAAAACAAAATACCTACAATATATATCCGTAAGTAAAGAACAATAGCAACAACATAATCATTGTTGTCATATTAACTTTTAATAACTATATTTATTATTACTAAACTTATTTTATAGCAACATCATAAGTCATTACCTAAAGTATAATTTTACAACAAAAATAAGTTATGCAAAATAAGTTCAATACCCAAAAAATGTTATTACAAAAAAAAAATTATGCAACTAAATTAGTCATTATTAAAAGTGTATTTTCACAACGATTACAATTATTACCAAAAAGAAATTTCTCTACATCATAAATTATTTTAGTTAAATAGTATTGGGGACAAGCCTACTACATGGGATATAAAAATCTCTCTACCATGTTGAGTTGTTGGTAAAAGATTTATTATGCAACTATTATAATTGTTGTAAACAAATTGTTACAGCAACCATTTAAAATGTAGGTAAAAAAGGTTTTTCCTAACTTTGTAAATTAATTTAGAAAATGAGATTTAACAACAATTATATGTGGCTGCCATATAATAATTTAAATAACGTCATTCATTGTTTTATAAAATATGATTTAGTAATACTAATGAATGTTGCAAAAAATATATTTTCTCTACCCTGTTGGACTGTTGGTAAAAGATTTATTATGCAACTATTATAATTGTTGTAAAAAAATTGTTACAGCA